TAGCACTTTTAGTATGCTCATGTACTTGTGACACCAGATTTTGGGTTTTGGCTAGTCGATTTCGGATTTATTATATCTACTTTGAAATTTTATAACTTTAATTTTTATTATATTGCTTTCAATTATCTAAAAATAATTAGTTGTGTACTTATGTTGGCTTGCCTAGCAAGTGGACGTTAGGCGCCATCACGGTCCCGCAATTGGGATTTCAGGTCGTGACAAGTTGGTATCAGAGCACTATGTTGCCTAGGTCTCACGAGTCATGAGCAAGCATAGTAGAGTCTGGAGGATCGGTACGGAGACGTTTGTACTTATCTTCTAGAGGCTATAAGGCCTTAGGAAAAATTTCGCTTCTTTCTTACTCTATCATGCGACTTTCTTCTGTCGCTGAAATTTGAATCATTCTATTCTTGTTCTCTCACGGATGGTGAGGACATGCACAACATCCACGGCGTCAGGAGCTGGAGCCCCAAGTTGCTGCCACTACCAGGGGTAGAGGTCGGGGCAGAGATAGAGGCAAAGGCAAGGGCAGAGCTCAGCCTAGAGCACGTGCAACAACACCTATTGCAGAGCCTCAGATCGAGCAGGAGGAGAAGGTCCCTGTTTAGACCATGCCAGTTGGACCAGCTCGGGTCCCGGAGGGGTTTATTGATATCCCAGTACTTAAAGATACTCTAGTCTACTTAGTGGGACTTATGTAGAGTGTGCCCCAGACCGGTGCATTTCCTGTGGCAACAACTGTCTCTCAGGATGGGGGAGGAGCCTAGACGCCCGCTAGTCACACACCATAGTAGATGGATCACGGTTATCAGACTCTTACAGTTCTACCAGTTATAGTAGTTCAGTATATTGTTGCTATACAGTCCGGAGAGATGCCCGCGATGTCTTCTGAGGGGATGAAGAGGTTGGATAAGTTCACTAAGTTATTACTATTCGATTTGGTGGTACACCTTCTGAGGACCCACATGATTTCATAGACCATTGCTATGAGGTACTGCTCAACATGGATATAATGAAGTCCAATGGAGTTGACTTTGCAGTATTTCATATGGTACGGCTGCACCAAGAGGTGGTGGCATGACTATGTTTGAGGCAGACCAATAGGTTCACCTCCGCTCACTTGGGATCAGTTCTCACAACTATTCTTGGAGACGTTCATCCCTTTTACTTTGAGAGAGGACTACCGCAGCCAGTTTGAGCGCCTATAACAGGGTAGTATGACTGTTACCCAGTACAAGACCAGATTCGTGGATTTAGCTCACCATGCAGTTATCTTGATCCCTACTTAGAGGGAGAGGGTGGGAAGATTCATAGATGGCCTTACTTTCGATATTAGGCTACAAATGGCTAGAGAGACTGAGGATGATATTTTCTTTACTCGGGTTGTAGAGATTGCTAGATGGATCGAGAGGATTCGTGGTCAGGGTAGAGAGACGACATCTGAGAAGAGGCCTTGTCACTTTGGTGGTTTCGGTGGTGCCTCGTTTGGAGGCAGGGGTTCATTTGGTAGAGGCCATCCTCCCAGGCTGATTCAGTCAGAGCTTCAGGCTGATTCAGTCAGAGTTTCAGGCCGATTCAGTCAACGCTTTAGGTAGCTCACTTATGATCAGTGTGTTGCATTTGCAGGTATCATATTTACAAATAAGTGTTTGCAAATGCGACACCTGCAACTGGGTAAAAGAGGGGAAAAACGGGACTTAGCTCATTTTACATTATTTCGCAACCCCAAACACTCTAGAGGCGACTTTTGAAGAACCTTTCCTTCCTAAATTCATTGGTAAGCAACTCTAATTCTTTTTCTATCAATTCTCCATTACATTTTATGAGTTTTTAACATTAAATCTTTGAATTTTATGGTAGAAATTAGGGATGTTGGAGAAAAATTAAGGATTTTGTAAAATTGAGATTTAGACCTCAAATTGAGGTCGGATTTCGAAACAAATCACATAACCGGGTTCAGGGGTGAATGAATAATCGGATTTTGGTTTGAGTCTTGGATTTCGACCAAGCAAGCCCGGGGTTGACTTTTTCAAAAATGATCAAATTGAACTTTTTTCATTCGTGGATAGTTTCTAAAGATTATTTTGAATTGTTTGTTCGATAATTGGCTAGATTCAGTTGATTTGGAGGCTTGTTCGAAAGGCAAGGCCGAGGTTGATTGATTGCTTTGGTTGCGGAGTAAGGTAAGTGTTATTTTTAACTTTGACTTGAGAGAATTAGGATTTGTTGGTCTATTTGCTATGTAAACTATGCGTCGGAATGACGTATATGCAAGGTGACGAGTATATATGCGTCGTCATGGGTTAAAGCATGCCGTTGAAAGTTGATATATTGTACCATTTTGCTTCTTTACCATGACTTCTATGCATTAGTTAGATTGTTATTCTTTGATAGTCCACTTCGTGTTTATTTATTAATTTGAAGTTGTTGGGATATTGGAAGTTGAATTTGCATATCATAACATCACGATTGAAGTTGAAATTGGTTTTCAATCTTGTTTGATACTTTGGATTGTTATTGTTGCTTGGTGAGGAAGAGTAAAAAGCATGAAGGGTATTGTCGTGCCATACTTGCATATTGTTAACATTGAATGAGCGAATGTGAGGATTAAAGAACGAAGGGTGATGCCGTGCACTTGTTATTATTCATTTGTTATATCATGTGAGGATGAGAGTAAAGCACGAAGGGTGATGCCCTGCCATTTCTTTTATCATATCATTATCATATGGTAAGGATGAGAGTAAAAGTATGAATGGTGATGTCGTGCCTTTGTATTTATCATATTACATGGTGAGGATGAGAGTAAAATCACGAAGGGTGATGCCGTGCCATTTGATAATTTCATTATTTTACTTGGTTTCCGGATTTGTGAATTATTTGGTTGCATTGTTTTTTAGGACTGATTTCATATATAAACAATAAAGTACAACAATGGAGGGGGACATAAACCTGACCTCCTGAAATGAAAGACCACTTAGTCATCCTATTCTGACAACCAAGTGAGCCCTGAATGCTATGGTAAGTTAGACCTATAGTGATGTGCCAAGTGTCTATCCAACAATGATAGTCACCCGGGTATACAAAAACAGAGTGAAGTAAGCCTAGGTCAGCTATACCAAAAGGTACTAGTAATCCTAAATCTACTAAGCAAATGAGTTGGAAGGTGATCTTCCATATACAACAAATTCTACATCGAACAAAAGAGTAGAAGATCCCTATGAGGTGAGGCAAAATACATGTGATAGTGGGGGGAACTATCTTCAACCTTGCTTTGACATTGATGTCAAAGAAAGCCAGGTTGAAGATAGCTAACAAAAAGGTCCATAGAATTGGACTGAAATGATGCTGCTGTCTGATCTTTCTGACATAAAAGAGTAAGCATTGTCCTGCTTCGGTTGCCCAAAGATCCTGTAGGCCTGCTAGTGGTGTCTTCTGAATTCTGGGGCTAGACATTTGTGGCTGCACTGAACAAGTCAGGGGGACTGGGCCCCTAGGTAATTCTTGTTGTTGAGGAACTGATGAGTAGGAGGCTGACTGGTAGTGGAGTGTCAGCATTGTTGATGTCTTCTGGTGGTGGCTGATGTATGGCATAAGAGGGCAATGGAGTTGAAGTTGCTGGTGACTGTTATTTGTGTGCATTTGAGATGTGATGCTCGTACAACCATGTGTTCAACAGTTGTGTGATTGGACAGTGAGTAAGAGTGTGTCATGAGGGACTTGGATGAATTGATGCAATTTCAGCAGAATGAGCATCATAGATGCTAATACCACACACTAAAAGTGCATCAATTGGCTAAGTCTATTGAAGGTACCTGCAAAACTGAGCAAACATGTTAGCAAAGAGGGAGCAGAAAGGCTCCCTATTCTGAGAAGAGGACTCTGTTTCCAGGTTCTTGTGGGTTCTGGATTCAGAGGTGGAATATTGAGTGGAGTTGAGTGTGAATGAGGATGGCAGGGGATAACTAGGGGTATCTTTGGTCCTGTTTGGCTACCTACTTGCAGGTTCTTGTGGATACTGAAGTAGGTTGTTTGGTTATTGTTGTGACTAGAAGGGTGAGAAGAGGGTGTGAAAAGTTGCATTGTTGTTCATTTCAGAAAGAGGATACTTGGTGATTTTGTACTTACCGTTCTTATCTTAATCCTTTTTTACATGTTTCCTCCCTGTTATTATTTTAAATGCTCTACTTGTTATTTCATTTGCTTTAGGTATATATCTGCACATGTTTTTAGTAAGTGTCTTATCATAGCCCAGTCACTACCTCGTAGGGTTAGGTTCGACACTTACGGAGTACATTGGGTCGGTTGTACTCATGCTACACTTTTGCACTTCTTGTGAAGATTCTGGTATTGGTCGCAACGATGTCTAGTGGTGCTTCTGCTCGGATCATATCTACATCTGGAGACTTTAGGTAGACTTGCACGACGATTGTAGTCCCCTTCCTTGTCTTGATTTACTGTTTATTTTGTTTCAAACAGTTGTACTTTCATTCAGACATAGGTTGTAGCACTTTTAGTATGCTCATGTACTTGTGACACCAGATTCCGAGTTTTGGCTAGTTGGTGTGAGAGTTATTATATCTACTTTGAAACTTTACAACTTTAATTCTTATTATATTGCTTTCAATTGTCTAAAAATAATTAATTGTGTACTAATGTTGGCTTGCCTAACAAGTGAACGTTAGACGCCGTTACGACACCGCAATTGAGATTTTGGGTCCTGACAATATATATATATATATACAAGAGGTTCATGGAATGCCATGTATGAATAGATTAGATGGACGGACACATTCTTTCGTCTTATTTATAAACACAAACAATAGGGATATTTTCTCTCTCTCAAAATTTATTTGCCAAAACCGCAAATTGCTATAAATTAAAGAAGTTGTCATTATGGAGAACCAATCGTCCATCCACATTTTCGGGATTTTGGGTTCGGATAAATATGATGTGGCCCCGTGGGACATCCAAAAATAGTGGAGAAAGAAAAATATGGAAAGAGAAAAGGAAAACCAGAAATTTATCAACATTTTTAGCAGGCCACGTAAACAGCAGTCTTTTGTCAGAGAAATCCTGAAAATCCATTTTCCTCCATGAACCAGTTATTCGCTGTTGCTACAACAGAAATGTCTCTACTTAGCTCCTCAATCTAGATTTTCCGGTTCTCTCTCTTCCCCCTAACACCCTTTGTCTTTCTCTCTCTAAACAGCGTGGCCTCTCGTCACCCTCTTCATTCTTTCTTGGCTTTTCCTTCTGTTACCATCAACTTTTCATTCTCAGTGTAAAAATAGACTCATAATAAAAACAATTCGAAAATCTGGGAAGGTCTTCATTTTTGGGTTATTGGAGATTTGCTCAATGCTTAGTGTCTTTCGTAAAGCTTTCACTTTGTTGTCTTCAAAGTGAACACTATGTTTGACTTGGTCCTTCATTGTCCAGGTCCCAAGGCCAAGGTATGACTTTCCATATATGTTCATAAATTTGTATATTCTTTGAGTTTGTGCCTGCGCTTCATATCTCTTGATTGAATTTTTATGATGGCTGTCAACCTACACATAACGCATTCTCCTTATCCGGGGTTGGGAAAGGCTATGCTTTCCAAGAGCAAACCGAGATAATCTATACATGGAGTATAGTTTTTGAAAATATTACTCTACCAATTATTAGCCAAACAGGGTAGAATTCTTGAGGATGCTATATCATTCCTTTTTTTTCTTTTCTGGTGGGTTGAGGAATACTTTTGGTAGTATANTAATGACTGCTTAATCTCTGTCGAGCTAACACAACCCAGAGATACTCTTAACATGGTGTGTGATATTCTCCGCTTTGGGTCAAGCCCGCATGATTTTTCCCAAATAACGTTACTCCATTAAGAGCTCCCAACACCTTATATGTAGGCTACCAATGTGAGACTTTATTCACACACCCAACAATCTCTCGCTCGAACTAAGTTTCACGTGGCTTACTACCACGATCCACGAGTCTATTTTCGATATTCACTGTGTGCCACCCATATTGTTTGAGTATTTATGGCAACCGAAGCCCGCTACTAGCTTTTTCTTGTCTGTGGGCATCTCTAAGCTCGTAAAGGGAAGTAAACCGAGCTCCACGCCATCACTCTGCCATCGCCGTACTCATCTCGCCGAACCTGGCTCTGATACCAACTGTTGATCTGAAATAGCCCAGAGATACTCTTAATATGGAGCTACAAATGTAGGACTTTGTTCGTATACCCAACGATCTCCCGCTCTAACTAAGTTCCACGTGGCCCACTACTACCATCCATGGGTCAATTTTCGTGATTCATTGTGTGCCACCCATATTGTTAGAGTATTTATGGCAACCGAAGCCCACCGCTAGCTTTTTCTTGTATGTGTGCGTCTCTAAGCTTGTAAGGGAAGTAAATCGAGCCCCACACCATCACTCAGTCATCGCCATACTCATCTCGCCGACCTGGCTGTGATACCGAGTGTTCTAAAACAACCCAAAAATACTCTTAATATGAAGCTACCAATGTGGAATTTTGTTCGCACACCCAACAACTCTAGTTCTAGCATTATTTAATCATAGTATTTCTTGCCAGTTTATGCTCAGGCGGTTGTTGGAGTGGACTGCCTTGAAATAATTGTCTTTTAACTATCTTTTTTAAAGCAAAGTAGTCCACTATGTGAATTAGAAACTTGTTGGAGGCGGCTATGTGAATCCTCTATCCATATTCAGGGGATTCATTATAGTTTGACTATTTTTATGGTGGCCGTCAACCGACCACTACCACATAGTGCTGCTTACTTAAGTTTGTCCTGGTGCTGCTTTCATCTGAATATCTGCTTTTCTTTCATGTTCTTTTATAGTCTCTGTGCATGTGTTTAGAATTCTCTAGTGACATATACTCAAATTAATTAGAACTAATTGTACTTTCTTAGAGGCAATGTCTTGGGAAGTGAACCTTTTTTCCTGATGTTCAACTTGCAGGGATATAATGTAATATCTCAAACGAGCTCTACCTGGTCCACTTTTACAGCATCTTATTTGCGACGACATTATTCTAATGTATCATATGCCTGTAACAAATCCATTCATATTTCATCAGTTTCTTTGCATCACAAGATAAACCGTCCATTTTCTGGAACAAATGGTGTCTGCAAAAGTATGCCATTTTCATCTTCCTGCGGTGGAAGAGGGGTTTGCATCTTAAAACACCAGAAGTCTTTGAGGAGTAAGTTTCAGATATATGCATCACTTGATGTTGCCAGTGCTGTTGATGTTATCAATGACCTCGGGTTGGACACTTTGACATTCTTAGCTGTGACTGTACTGGTTGTTCCTGCCTTCAAGAGCATAAAAGCTAGCCCTGTGAGTTGATTACAATATTCAAGTCCTTTATCTTTGTTAGCTTCATAATCAGCAACATGTGTGCAATATTGGTTACGCGTGTCTGTATCATAAGATAAGTACCTTATTATTAAAAATTTCCGCTTTTTTAAGCAAGTGCTATCTCCTTATGTTATTTGATACGTTAGTGAAGCTTCTCTTCATTTAGTGAATAAATTTTGCTGATGACTTTTGTGGTCAAATAAGGCCTTAGCTTTCGCCAAGATTACCTTTGTTCAACATTGAGGTATTAGTTTCCAGCTCAATCAGTATCAATGTTGCTGTAAAGCAGGTAGTTAGTTTGGGCAATGTAGATATGATCTGGTGTAGCCTAAAAAGGAAAGGCAGCCATGTACGTGATATTGATTTCTAAATATGCCCTTTCGAAATGAGGATATCCATAAATAAACTCGTGACAGTTTTTTACATCCCTATTCATGTGTCCTACATTTGGACAACATTGATCTAAGTGAATTATATGCCTTTACTCTGTATTGTCAAGATAGCGATGTAAACAATCTCAGTTCAAATTGTATCTTGGATTCTGTTCTAAGTTAACTTTAGAATGAGTAGGACCTACTTATCCATCTTACACCCTAGTTCAACCAAAGACTTATTTCCTTGAACTTGTTTTTTCCAATGAGAGAATAAAGCAGCTTTTGCCTTGGTGAAAAGAAACTTTGAATTGTGTATATTTGACATTTGCTATACTTGCTACCCTCTGAGTCTATCTATGAAACTCAGTTGCTAGTGTTCAACATAACATATCAATCTGCTGAAAACCTTAGTACTATAACAGCCATTTTTAGTACTTGCACCGGCACTTGAGTCAAAATTTACATAACCTAGGTGAAGTCTTTGATATATTTTACCACTCTTCAAGAGGGTATTTGATGAATTTGGCAAATAATCTACAGTTCAAAGTCTAACTCAAGGCTCTTATAGCACATCCACATTAAGATTTAAAACAATCAAGTGACTCTTCGGGCTAAATGACTCTTTGGCTTTCTTGACAAAAACATGAAGTTCCTAGAAGTGATTATATTTTTAATTACTTGACATGATGCCGTGAATTGGCCTCCCGTATCTGCAAACACTTACTTTCTCATAGTTTATTCGTGAAAGCATGGGATGAATTTATTTGTAACCTAGAAATTTGTTGGAATCGCATCAAATTGCATGTCACTGAAGTTGGAGATAGTGATTGAGTAGTACGAACTAAAAGTTGATCTCTTGTAGTCATGTGGTGCTAATCAGTTTATTGCTTTCAGATACTTGGTTTTTTCTTTGCTGGAGTTGTGCTCAATCAATTTGGGCTAATCAGAAACATCACGGATGTTAAAGTTCTTTCCGAATGGGGGATTCTTTTCTTGGTAAGCTCATTGGTTGCTGTCATCCCATTTTGAGGGTTTAACTGTGCATGTAATGCCTAACAATCTAGTATCATTTTCCTCTCTCGCTTCTTTTGTTCTTGTTCTTCCTTTTTTTTTTAAAAACCTTTTTACCTGCAGAGCTGGAATTTTCTGTTACTTATCCTAAGAACACTGAGAAATCTATTGATAGACTTGCATGATATGCGGTGCATATGGTAGTACCTGATATTGTATTCATCCCATTGCTTGCATTTTGACTTATGTGAAATAATTTGTTTTTCTTATGTACTGTGTATTCTCGGATATAAAGATCAATCCCAAACAATCAATTAAATCTATGCGGACAAGCAAAGACCATTTTAATTAAGATAGTGATTTTATTTTTGGTTGGATCAGAATTTTGTTTTGTCGTGGGGGGTGGGGGATGGAGAATGGAAGTGATAACCTATGTTTTATTATGTAACTTAAAACTTTTTTGTGTGCATTAATTTCTGGTGGGGTGAACATGTAGTTAATTCCTGCATTTACACCTAAAAAATCTTTCTTGTGTGCATTAATTTCTGGTGGGGTGAACATGTAGTTAATTCCTGCATTTACACCTAAAAAATCTTTCTTGTGTGCATTAATTTCTGGTGGGGTGAACATGTCGTTAATTCCTGCATTTACACCTAAAAATGATAAGTTAAGGGCTAAACTAAGGCTTTGATGGTTAATGTTTCAAAGTAACAGAAACATGCCCTATACATTATTTAATCTTGAAAAATAAAGGCTGATATTGCTGTGGTTTGCTAAAGTGGGACTATTGCAGGGTAAGGAAGCACAAAAAAGAAGAGAAAGCTTTATGTCTAGAACTTAGCTCTAAACGACTAGCAATATTTCTATGGAAACAAAACCCAAGTAATCTGTATTTCAAAAGGTTCTAGGTTTCTTTAGACCTTTCCAAGTTCTGTTACTGCCGTTTCAATTTATGTAAACCTATTTCCTTGTTAGTCTGTGCCAAAAAGAATGACCTCTTTCCTTATTTGGAAACAATTTATCTTTATGCAATGATTTATAGCCACACAAAATTTACGTGCCTCATTTTACACCACAAATTCAAAAGTCTTCTCTCTTTTCTTAAACTCCGTGCCCAGTCAAATTGGTTCACATAAATTAAAACGGAGGGAGTATATCTTAAATGGAGGAATATGCTCTGTGTTCCATCTGCTAGAATTTAAATGTTGCCCCCTTCATTTCTTTAACATCACAGGATTACAGATTCTACTTGTTAATTCAAAATTTTTCTCTTCTCCCATTTTCATCATATGCTGTATTCTTTCTCTTGTATTTCTTGGTTTTTGTTTGTTAAGAGTGTTGCAAGGCTGGATTTAACTGAAGGAAGTATCATTTTACAGCTTTTTGAAATGGGATTGGAGCTTTCACTTGCACGCTTGAAAGCTCTTGCAAAGTTTGCCTTTGGCATGGGACTGACTCAGGTATTTTGTCATAAATTTTTTTGAATCGCCACATTTGATAGATTACTTATATAATTCTACATCCCATGGCTAAAGACCATCTATTGTCTCAGCAACAGACATTTTATTCTATTAGATTTCCGTTAAGAAGTTACAATGCTTTTGCGGACAGGTTGTGCTTGAGGACAATGCATCTCCTTCTTGAGACATTTATTACAGTTCTTGTCTGATATTTTAGGAATTAGCATGTGGCAGATATTACATGGGATATGGTTGTACATAGAGTAAAAGTTGATTCTCAGCTTTTGGAACCATTTCCTGGCCGTTAGGAGTTTGGATTCCATTGCATCTTTCCAATGAGACTAACAGGGTGTCGGGTATTGCTATCTATAGAGCTACCACTAAAATATGGTTCTCATTCCCCCTATCTTTCTTTTCTATCTTATTATGGTGGTTTCTGGCTCATGGATAGTCACTGTTGCATAACAAAATCTATAGATAAAGCTTAACGGATAATATACGGACAGATACACGATGTGTGTGTGTTGGAATCAGCCACTTTTATCAAGGCAGTCCTCACCTCATCTTCTTTGGTTCTTATTACATCAGTTTACTCTCTCATCTAAACTTTGTAGCACGTCTTGACATGAGCGTGGTTGATACATAGAGGCTTACACTCTGGTGTTGCTAGAGTACTATTTTTTTCTTCAAGCACCACCTGAGCTGATAGTAAATCACTCATCCTCTGCTCTATTTTAGGACAGAAGGATGTGATTCACTCTAGCAGCCAATTTCATTCTAGACCTGATTAAGGTACTACTATTAGTAGAAAATTCTGCAATGAAAACCTTGAACTAAACCAACAAGGGTGTGGTAGAGTGGTAGTCGGGCCCCAATGCGGGTACCGGACACCGGGTAGGAAACATAACCCAAAAAAAAAAACTTGAACTAAGAGAATGTTCAATCATGTTTTAGACTCTCATAATTATTTCGTTGATTTACAGTAACAAAAAAGATCTATATAGGTGATACTTACTAGTTAGGAATAGGCTTTTAAATATTACTCCCTCTGTCTCAATTTGTTTTAACCTTTTCGGAGTATGAGGGTCAAAGTTACTAATTTTCGGTATGACTTCGGACATAAATTCAGAAAGTTTTGAAATAAAATTACATATTTAGAAACCACATAGTACTATAAGTCACAATAATTAACAATTGTTGATTGACTTAATTATTAGGAAAGACTTGATTCTAATTGAGAAAGATTTCATTCTAATCGATTTTAATTGATTGTAATTTATTTTCCTTCCTAAAATAGTCATTGGACTTGGTGTATAAATATATTTGCTTAGGTATGTAAGAAATACACTGAAATACAAGAAGCCTTTTCTTCTTCTCAAAAATTTACATGGTATCAGAGCCATTGCTGCCTTTTTGAGGTGAGTTATCTCCCTCGCAGCACTAGGATTCCGTTTTTATCAAAGAGGTTGAGTTTTCTATCTCTTGGTGGCTGTCCGCAACACAAACCCCTTCTGGTTCCGTCGAGACAAATTTGGTTTCCGGTGAGGCAGATTATTTTTGAGCAATTTTTTTCAGATTTCCTTCTGATTGGGCAGAAAATATGGAGACATTCAAGGAGAGGTTTCTTGAGAAATCTTGTCTCCGGATGAAATTTAGCTTCTCCGTCGCCTCCTAGCCAAACTTGACTTCGGTAATGTTGCCACATCCAATTATGTGCAATCAGGTACTGCCTTTGCTGCTCACCTTAATTCTTGGATTGTTGATTCTGGTACAAATAGACACATGACATGCTCTTCTAAAGGCATTCAAAACTATTCTCCGTGTCTTAGAGGGATAATCTTAAAATAGCCAATGGTTCTTTAACACCTATCTCTGGAACAAGTTCTATCGTTTGTACTCCTAATATTAAACTATCATCCGTGCTCCGTGTCCCTGAGTTCCTTGTCAATCTTTTATCTGTTAGTGCCATCACCAAAGCTCTAAACTGTAAAATCGAGTTCTTTCCCGATCATTGTATTTTTCATGATCTTCAAACAAGGAAAAGGATTGGCAGTGGTAGATTCCAAGATGACTTGTATATATTAGATGGAATTCAAAACTCTAGTTAAGTCTTTTTTGGGGAAAGTAAGGATGTCAACCAAGAAATAATACAACATAGACGTTAGGACAACCATCATTCGTTGTTTTGAAGAGGTTATATCCCGATTTATTTTCAAGGACTCAATTTGAATCTTTGTTCTGTGACGCGTGTGAATATGCCAAGCATACTAGAAACTCTTATCTTGTGAGTGATATTAGAAGCACAACTCCGTTTATGACTATTCATTATGATGTATGGGGTCCTACACAAACTGTTTCTTTGTCTGGTAGTCGATGGTTTGTTACTTTCATTGATGACTGCACTCGAATGACTTGGGTATATTTGTTAAAGCCAAAAATGAAGTTTACTCTTGTTTTCAGTCATTTCATAGGATGATTTGTACTCAGTTTGATGCCAAAACAAAAATCTTAAGAACTGACAATGGCAACGAATACATGGATAAAAGATTTACTGCTTATTTGGAGTCCAATGGGATAGTCCATCAGATTAGTTGGCCTTACACTAGTGCACAAAATGGGTTCGATGAAAGAAAAAATAGGCATTTGTTAGAAGTAGCACGATCTCTTATGTTCAACATGCATCTACCAAAATGTTATTGAGGGATGCTATTGTCTATCTTATCAACAGAATGCCACTTAAAATCGTCAATTTTCAAAGTCCTCGGGAAGCTTTAATGGGTAAGAATGAATATACTGACCCTCCAAAGGTGTTTGGGTGTGTTTGCTTTATCCACACTAGAAATTCTGGGAAACTTGATCCTAGAGCTATAAAATGAGTTTTCATTGGGTTTTTTCCGACACATAAAGGTTACAAATGTTATCATCCTCCCTCTACGAGATCTTTTGTTAGTATGAATATTACTTTTCGAGAATCTAAGCCCTATTTCAGTATTATCGCATCACCTCTTCAGGGGAGAGTAATAAGGAGGAAGAGGTGATTCTAGCTAGTTCCATTACTGGACATCTTGATGACATTGTCACAGGGGAAAGTGAAATTGGAGAAAGAATTCAGGGGGAGACTATTGGGCATTTGGATAGGCCTGATTTGAAAACTTACTAAAGGAAAAATAGAGCAGAAGAAGCCATCATGCAATCTACCGAAGCTGAACCTTCTTCTACTGGTGAGTTATCTTCATTTCCTAATGAGTTAGATGAACCTATTGCTCACAGAAAAAGAGTCAGATCTTGCACCACCAAACACCCTTTATCTAATTTTGTCTCCTATAATTCTTTGTCTCCCTCCTATAGAGCCTTTGCCTTGTCTATTTCTTTTGTGTCTATTCCCCAGAATTGGAGGGAAGCTTTTGTAGATCCTAAATGGAAGCAAGCTATGATTGAAGAAATGAAGGCCTTGTCAAAAAATGAGACTTGGGAACTTGTCACTTCACCACCAGACAAGAAGTTGGTTGATTGCAAATGGGTCTTCACTGTGAAGCACAAAGCTGATGGCTCGATTGAAAGATTCAAAGCAAGATTTGTGGATAAGGGATTCACTCAGACTTATGGAGTGGATTATCAAGAGACATTTGCCCTTGTTGCTAAGATGAACACTATTAGAATTCTTTTGTCTTGTGCATCTAATCTTGATTGGGACTTGCAACACTTTGATGTGAAGAATGTATTTCTTCACGGAGACTTAGAAGAAGAGGTGTATATGGAGATTCCTCCTGGATTTGATACTGCACAAAGTCAAGGAAAGGTATGCAGATTGAAGAAAGCCTTGTACGGATTGAAGCAATCCCTCAGAGCTTGGTTTGACAGATTCTGCAAAGCAATGATCTCCTTTGGTTACCAACAAAGCAATGTTGATCACACCCTCTTTATAAGACATCATACAGGTAAACTCACTCTTCTCATAGTTTATGTTGATGACATAGTAATGACAGGAGATGACAAAGAGGAGATGGCCCGATTAAAAAAGTTGTTGGCACATGAATTTGAGATCAAGGATCTGGGAAAATTGCAGTAATTCTTGGGAATTGAGGTTGCTAGATCAAAAAGAGGAATCTTTATTTCTTAGAGGATGCATATTCTAGATCTCTTGAAAGAAATTGGTATGACAAGTTGCATACCCGCAAAATCTCCCGTTGAAAGCAATCAAAAGTTACAAAGCGGAGTTGGAGAGTCAGTTGATGAGGAGAGATATCAGAGGTTGGTTGGAAGACTCATTTATCTCTCCCATACTAGACTAGACATAGCCTATTCAACTAGCCTGATGAGTCAGCTAATGCATGATCCCCGAGATCCTCATATGCAAGTTGTCTTTTACATTTTTCGGTATCTGAAGTATGCGGAAAGGTCTACTTTTCTCCAAACATGATTACTTCCAAATAGAAGTCTTTACAGACGCAGATTGGGCTGGATTTCTTGGATGATAGAATATCTACATCCGGTTACTGTACGCTCATGGGAGGAAACTTAGTTACTTGGAGAAGCAAGAAGCAAAGTGTAATTGCTAGATCAAGTGCAGAGGCAGAATATAGAGCTATGGCCCAGGGTGTTTGCGAACTGCTTTGGCTACAAAAGTTACTAGAGGAATTGAGACTATCTGAAAAAGGAAAACTTCCCTTGTACTGTGACAATAAGGCTGCCATCAGCATAGCTCATAATCCAGTCCAGCATGACCGAACAAAGCATGTGGAAATTGATCGACACTTCATCAAAGAAAAAATTACAACTGGTGTCTTGAGTATGTTTAATGTGCCATTGGAAAAAAGTTAGCTGATGGGTTTACCAAAGGTCTCAACAAACGGACTTTTCATATGCTGGTTTGCAAGTTGGGCATGTGCGACATCTTTGCACCAACTTGAGGGGGAGTGTTGATTGACTTAATTATTAGGAAAAATTTGATTCTGATTGAGAAAGATTTGATTTTGATTGAGATTTAATTTTATTCTGATTGATTGTAATTGATTGTAATTTATTTTCCTTCCTAAAATAGTCATAGGACTTAGTGTATAAATACCTTTGCTTAGGGATGTAAGAAATACACAGAAATACAAGAAGTCTTTTCTTCTTCTAAAATATCTACAACAATTCAACATATCTAAAAACTATTTGCAAAAAACTACTTTCTTTCCTTCTCAAAAGAAAAATTAATAACTATTTGCAAAAAACATGGTCAAAGAAAACCTTATTTGACTTCCCAAATAGTAATAGGTTCATTCTTTTTGAAACAGAGGGAGTACTATTTTTGTTATTACTATTACTATTAAATATATAAAACTTATTTTCACTACTATTGTTATTTGATTTTGGCATGATGATGATATAAGTTGAGCCTAAAGAAAGAACTGGCCCTAACTTTGTTTAGGACTGAGACGTAGTAGTAGTTGTTGTACAGTAACGAAAGTGCAAAGCCAATGGTGTGTATAAATTGTGAACCTTCCTTATCACCGTGTCTCAAGAGATATCAGTTTATCCGCTTATGTTCCTTCGTCTGCCATTAGCATGATGGAGGAGCGAGGGCAGCTCCATCTCCTCCTTACCAGGTGGAAACAATCTCCTTCTTGTTACAGACATGCTTTTCAATAGAACGCCTCTCAAAGCCAGAGTTCCCACCCTTCTCTTTCTTTTTGACAAATTTCTATTTAAGTTCTGTTTAAGACTTCACAAATCATGATACACCAAGTGTTTCTTTTTCTGTTTTCATTACATGGTTGTGTGTAAGTTGGGGAACCCGTTAGCACTTGTTATTGTACTTTTATTTGTTTCAGTTGGTTTTCAGTGAAGGTTTTACTTTCTTAGCTAATATCTTTGTAATGAAATGCTAAACTTAAATCTGGATGAGCTATCTCTGGAGCAAAAAATTATTTGGGAAAAAGAAAGCATGATGATAAGGGGCCGAAAGGATCGGAGATGGGAGGAGAGTTTTTTGTTATACTTTTGGGAAAAAAGCATTTGCATTAGTACATGCAACATTGTATTCTTTGTGTTATTTTTTAGTTTACATTGTTTACACTATTTTATGCCCTTCATAATTTGAAATAGTTAATAAACAATATTGATTCAAATTGATGAGGAAAAGTTTGCCTCTTAAGCAGCTAAAAATTATGTCAGGCCCTAGTTTTACTTCTGTTCTGCATCTGAAGGATATTCGTACTCATGTACTGAGGTCTTTCTAACATCTTTTTATTGAAGGTTGTTATGAAAGTCAAGTATGTGCTATTTTTTGGTGCTCTAGTATAATGGAATGCTTGAAGTTTTATCTATTTGGTGAATTCCTTTAGGATATTTGTACCTAGGTACTATGAGGTCCTTCTAACATTTGCCTTGTATTTTCTTGTTTGTTATGTTGAAGGTTGTATTATCAACCCTAGCATTTACATCATTCGAGCTTCCACCTAATGATGCTATTGGAACAAAGATTCTGGAGTTTCTTTTTCACTCAAGGCCTGATCTGGTAAGTCTTCCTTTAGGAACTAATTGTACTGAAATACCTCTGTATAGTTGACAGAAAGGCCTTTATGGAAGGCTAGAAATATATATAGATACAGGAGTGTGCATGTGGTATGTTGGTATACCACTTAGAAGAAAGAAACCCGACTGGGTAAATAGTTAACCAGACACGACTAAGTAGTTTGTCAGTCCTTCCCTTCGTCTATTCTATTTAGCTCTTCGTCATTTCACCATGTTTTTTTTGGTTATATTGTTCTGTTGATTAGTCCCTTGTCATTTCACTTTCGTTCTCTTAAAGAAACCAGAAAGAATGGTGCTCCTTGCTAAATCACAATCATGTAATTGTTGTAGGAATCCATTACAGAGAAAGTTGGAGGTGACTTCACGTTGTTTTGCCTTCTTTCATCTTAATTTTTATATGCTACTGTACTTTACAATGACATCTGTGGCAGAACAGCATAGGCCACTGTGAATATCATTCGTTTAGGTATATTCATATCGTAAAGGTCAACCAATATTTATGTTGTTTACTCATACAATTGATTTCCTGACCCTTCGCTAATCCTTCTCATTAGAAAGAAGCCTTTATTGGTTTTCTAAATCAATCAGTCAACAATCAACAATCAACAATCAACTATGCTTGAATCTCAAGCTGGTTGAGACTTGGGCTTGAATATATGAATCCTTCGATACTCGGCCTTACTTAGGCTCGTTTCTATTGTTTTTCTTAATTTTCTGTCATATTTGAGCTGCCTTTGTTTCTCACACATAGTTAGAGAGAGAGAAAGAGAGAACAAATGTTCACAATTTTTAATACAGTCGGTGGTCGAAGACTAAACAATAAATAAAAACTTTCCATTTCTATGAGACAATTCAAACTTCNGTATTCTATTTCTAACAGATGATACATTTCACAAAATATTTTCTTATGCTTGGCCGAAGAAAAATTATCAGGTTCGAAGGTGAAGTGGCATGTTGAAGATTTAAAATTAGTTAATAAAGAGTATTCCATCTTCAACAGCTTAAACATTGAGATGAGACGGTTCACAAATTCAATATTTGTATATGTGCCTCAAGTAAATTTACTTGTTGAAATAGTTTTGAGCATTTTCAGCTAGTGGTTAGGCTTATCTGCTCTAGGCTCTGAGGCTTGTCTGATTCAGGTTTCATTGGGTGTGAAAGGAAGGCGTCACCTAGAGACGTTAATAAGACTACAGAAAATAACTGCTGTAGCAGGTAGATCATGCAAGTCATATCTGGGGCTTGTGCAAGTCTTTAGAATCCCCCATCAGCCGGTGGTCCTAGAAGGCAAGGCTTCATAAGAAAGGACAGAAGGCTTCTTCCTTTTTCTTTTTCATATTAATTTATACAGTAAAATATGGATACTCAATTGGTACTTACTTACCATCTACAGGCACCTTTATCCTCTTTCTGCTTCATCAGTGTCTTACTGGATGTAGTGATTCTTCTTTTTCCTTTTTTTATTTTTCGTAGAGATATAAACGATTCTTTTTCTCTTCTTCTTCTTCTTTTTCCTCTTTTTTGTCTATGGTCATAGATATTTATTAGGCACTTACCCACCATCTACACTCTCCTTTATCCACATTTTTGCTTCTTCATCAGTAACTTATTTAGGATGCAGGTGAATATTAGAAGTGTTGATGAGGCTGTAGTGATTGGTGCCGCTCTCTCTCTATCTTCTTCAGCTTTTGTTCTGCAGGTAATTTATTATGCTACAATGCCTGGTTTGTGAATGAACTCTGCAAATCCCTTTTTCTTGTTAAAGATTCATTTTTGCGGAAATATTTGGCATCCTATTAATGCTATTTTGAGTGTAAATCTGCAACAACTGAACATTGAACTTTTATAAGGAGATATTTATCATGTATCCCTTGTTAATGGCATTTTGGGTGCAACTTGTTTGATAACTTTAGTTACTGCTGACGAGGCTTCTGCTTATGATATGGCTGTGACTTTGTCTTGCAACTATCATAAAACTTCTCTGGTGTCTGACTCACTTCTATTTTATACTTCAATTCTTTTCAGCGATGACAAGACTAAGTTCTTTTGAAGTTTGCAAAGCAGATTGTGCACTTGATACATCTTATCAGATTTTGACCACTAGCATAGAACAGCATCCTGTAATTAAAATGTATCCCCTTCACACACTTCAGCGTCTATATAACTACAAATCATGTAGTTGCAGTCCTAGATCTGTTACAACTCTTAACACCATGGACCCGCTGTTTAGCTGATGCTGACTTACTCAGCTTCTCTTGTCCTCATTCCTGTTTATTTGCCTTTATGCGTAAATAGAAAGATTTTTTAAAGATTGAATTTTGGAATCGAGAGATTCTGTATGGTACTGACGGTTATGACTCTTCACTCTTAACTTTTTAAAATAATACAGAGATAGCATTCATCTTCAGGACAATCCGTATTGCCTGAGAGAATATGTTTCCCAGGAGACATCTGTTGCAATGAGAGAGAAGCTTCAGTAGCACCCTTTGTTTCCTGACATCTAGACCTTTTCAAGCTAATATTTATCGTGGCTTACTGGCTTTATATACTAGACTTACATAAAAATGGAATTTCCTACTGATGCTGAACCTGTTCTTAGAGAACTTTCATGTGTATTCTCATTGTTACCTCTAGTTTTCTTGCTTTAACTTTCTTCCTTTTTTTTTTTTACCCCTTTTAACTTTTCGAGAATAATTTCCAATAATGAAAAATAAAGATATCTTCTCTTTACTTGCTGAATTTATGTGGGGTTTACCCTATGTTAGCAGAAGCTGAAATTATTGCTTGTGAATAGATCGATGGGTTCTCTACTCATTTTGGCATAATTTTAGATTCTTGCAGAGAAGGGTGAGCTTCCAACAAGATTTGGCTCAGCTACTTTGGGAATACTTCTACTTCAGGTTCTATTTGCATCTTTACATTCAAGAAAATACATTTAACCCTCGAGGGGAAGTAAAAGAGAGACGAGAAATGAAGAACTAATAAAGGAACTAGAACTTTTGATATTCGTATAGGTCTACATGTTTGACATTTAAATGCTCTTAAGGCACATCACTTGCATTTGGAATGGCGAAAAGGTCTTGTTCCTTTTCTGTATTCTGTCCAAGGACAATGGTGTGAATATTCAAGGACATGTTGCCCGTTTAGTTTTCCTCATTTGTTCTATACTGCTTGATATCCGCAGGACATTGCTGTTGTGCCTCTTTTAGTCATACTACCGGTGCTGGAGACCCAGGTACATGGAGCTTGGAAACCTATAATGTAAATAAATTTTCTTTGATGCAGTTAGTGGGAAAATATTAAGTAAATAAATTTTCTTTGATGCAGTTAGTGGGAAAATATTGAACTTAAAGTTGATGTCTAAGCATCATTATCTTAGCTAGTTACTTAGATAATTTTTTTCCCTGAAGGAAGAGAGGTAAAAATATCTCATACATGGACAATATGTTTAATTGCAAGAGCTATCAATGAGTCTTAATTTAGCAAAATTTGTTCCCAACTGAGTCTAAATTTCCTCTGCAGGGGTATGTGCATTAACTTTCCTTAAATTTTATACAGATGTATGATCAAGCTAACGGACTTGCCATTTCTTTTTTCTTGCACTACTGCTATATGTGTTTATGACTACCATGACCATGAGTATTGTTTGATCATCAAATTTCTGCAGAATTTGATAGAAGAAAGTATTTTGCCAATGCTTGCTAAAGAAAGTCTGAAGGCTTTAGGTGGACTGGGGTTGCTTTCTCTCGGAGGGAAGTACATATGGAGGCGAGTTTTTGAGGTGCTCATCCTTGTTCTTTGGCCAAGTATAAAATGTAACCAGGGGAGAATATAGGAGCAATGAATAGATACACTTATATTTTTGCTGCTGAAACAACAAATTGTGTTTATCGGTTATAGGTTGTTGCAGAAACGAGAAGCTCGGAAGCTTTTGTTGCACTCTGCCTTTTGACTGTTGCAGGAACATCACTTTTAACACAGAAGTTGGGCTTTAGTGACACGGTCAGATACATCTCAAACAAGTGATGCCAATTGAGGCAGATAACAGTTCAGTTTATCATTTGATATTTATCCCATGGTGCAGCTTGGAGCCTTTTTAGCTGGGGCTCTGCTAGCAGAGACAAACTTTCGTACTCAGATTGAAGCTGATATAAGGCCATTCAGAGGATTACTTCTTGGACTATTTTTTGTGACTACCGGAACTTCTATTGATATGCAGGTATTTCCTCCTAAGTATGACCTTTGTTATGTACTGTAGTATGCACTCTTTGTGGGCCTGTAATTCTTTATCCATTTTCACATAATTCTTAATCTCATGCAGCTTCTTTTCCGTGAGTGGCCAAATGTGCTTTCCCTTTTGGCTGGTCTGATTGTTATCAAGACATTGATCATAACAGCAATAGGTCCCCGAGTCGGCCTATCCCTTCAGGAGAGTGTGAGAATTGGATTTCTTCTTTCTCAAGGAGGTGAATTTGGATTTGTGGTCTTTTCCCTAGCAAACAGGTGACTTTCATCTGAAGTTCTGTGAAGTAGAATTATTTTCTTCAATGTATTAACGATGCCATTTTATTGTAGGCTAGGAGTACTACCACTTGAGCTAAATAAACTACTTATTATTGTTGTTGTGCTGTCTATGGCACTGACTCCACTACTCAATGAAATTGGACGGAAAGCTTCTGAGTTTATTGTTGAGAAGTTTGACAAGGAGGATGTAAGTCTTTTACCAGTCCTTGAGTTTAAGGAGTGTTAAATATTGAAATGAGGCTGATTACGCCATGACCACTATCTCTCTCTTTGAATATTATCTCATTGGTTCGTCTCTCTTGAATCTTGAAATTTCAGATATGAAAACTGAGTTTACTGTTGCAGTGAATTAAATGCATTTTAGTTTCAGAAAACACGTTAGAATGCAAACTTAGTTGAGATTCGTGTGTTACACGTAAATATAATTTAGTAAAGATGCTTGATTGCCTCACCTGTTGAGGAAAAAAAGAGATGCTTTGTTGTCTTTCTCTTGAGGTTATTTGAAATAGAGCAGAGTAGTTATCTAGGGTCCTCATACTCTCTCTCCCTGATCTACGTGAATCAGAAGTTACTTATTCTAATAACTACTTATGTAAAGAAATATTCATGATCATTTCAGAGAACTGCTGAAATGGCAAATTTTGATGTGAGCGAACCAGTAGTTATCCTTGGATTTGGCCAAATGGGTCAGGTAATGCAATTGTCAATCACTGTTGATTAGTAAGAAGCTCTGCTTTGTTTTTCTGATGCTTTGTTCTTTTTTCTCTCCACACAGGTCCTTGCCAATTTATTGTCAACACCACTAGCTTCAAGTGACGGCGAGGAGTTTCGCTATGTTGCTTTTGATCTAGATCCTAAAGTTGTAAAGGTTATTTCATTTCATAGATTAAGTTGTCTGCTACTTGCAACATTGCATGTTCTTATTGGAAAATCAAAGGAACTGGTTAGTGATATTTTGTCCTTGTTACTGCACCAGGCTTCTAGAAACCTTGGTTTTCCTGTTCTCTACGGTGATGGTTCACGTCCTGCAGTTCTGCAGTCTGCTGGTATATCTTCTCCAAAAGCAGTCATGGTCATGTACAGAGGAAAAGATAGGACCACAGA